CTTTCAAAAATGAAAAAAGTATGAAAATAGAAGTTGGGAAAATGTCTTCATACCTCTCATTTTTAAGTTTTATATCTCACTAGACCCAATATTTCAAAACATATCTTGGGTCGTAGAAATTCTAAGTCTTGTATCTTCTAACCTCCTAAGCTAACTTTATCACTTTTAAACCTAATTTTTTGCTCCAAAAAAATATAATCAAGACATATCATTTATCTGTCTTCACGTGATTTTTCCCTAAATATCTCTCTCCATGACTTTTACCGAACCCTCTCTCTCCCTATTTTCCCACACTCTCTCCACGGTTTATTTTTCTTTATATATTTACTTGATTTTTGTGGATTTTTTCTATTGATTAGTTGGATATTATTCGCATGGATGATTAACTGTATGTAGATTGTGTCTATTTTTGGAATCCAAAATGAGAGAGAGGGGTTTCGGGAAACATGGGGTAGAGAGAGAGACCTAGAGAGAGAAAGTAGGTGAAAATCAAAGAGAGAGAAAGGGTTTGGGAGAATCAAGGAAGAGAGAGAAAGAGAGAAATTTGGGGGAATATACCACATAAAGAGATGAAAGGTTTAGAATAAGCATGTTTTTTTGTATTTGTTAGGGCTAAAAAAATACTTAAAAGTGGTTAAAGTTAGTCCGGAGGTAATGAGATATATTTTAACTCCTTAAATCTATTCAAATATGAAAACAAAAAACAGGGGATACGGGGACATTAAATAGGAGATTGAAGTTACATAAAATAGAATAAATGTATTCATCTTTCAAAAAAGAAAAGTTTTTTTGAAGAAATTTTTTATAAAGCTTTAAAAATCGTATTTTAAACTTTTTCATGAAAAAAACGTCTTACAATCTATTGAAAAATACGCATTTTAAAACTTTTTTCTAAAAAACCGACAATTTTTTTAAAAAGTCGTGTTTAAAATGGCGACTAACTGACTATGGTCCATTAAAATGGCGACTTACTAAATATGGTCCAGAATGGACATGGACTCCATGATTGATGTTTAGTTTTTGTTTGTGTGGTCATTGCCCTTTATTTGGCTGCCCTGTTTCAAGTTGAAATCCTCTTCTGGCTTAGTCTATCGAACTGAGTCAGATTAGCTATTTGATCTAGCCCGATTTGGGATGGTCGAATTAAAAACAATTGTAAATATAGAAAAATGGACAAATAGGAAAGCTGGGTAGTTCCTAGGTTCTTAGAACTAGAATCATCACGTCAGTGTCGAGCCATGATTTCAAGTCAGCTCGGCTATATCAGAACACTTATTTAAACAATTTTTTATAAGGCATTTAATATGCAGGGAGTGATGTGCACAGCAATTGCATACATGGTCCAAAGTTGGTGCATAAAAAAGAAGGGTCCCCTCTTCTCTTCTTCGTTCAATCCAGTTTGCACAGTCATCGTAGCCGTCTTGGAGCCCATACTCTTTCATGTTGATATCCATGTTGGAAGGTAAGTGTCACAATAGAGGTTCTGAAAACTCAACGCACCCCAACTATTTGTTTTTTTTCTTTTTCTTTTTTTTTAATATATAATTCAGGGCTCAAGCTACCGTCGTCACCAAAAATAATTTTATTGCTAAAAGATTTATCACATCTTGTGTACTTGGTAATAAGACAAAAAGATGAACATTAAAAAGAAATATATACGATGAGACAATTTACATTTCATCAAGAGGGAAATGTTTCTATGTGACCTCAACAACCTATAAGATATATGCTACCCCAATGTTTTGCCATTCGATTTGAATCGAACGGCTACAATTGTTTATACCACCATGTCAAACACTGTTTTATTTATTTACTTTTTCTACAAAATATTTTTTAATCACCAAATGACCAAAAAAAAGGTAAAACTAAATGACCAAAATGACCCTATAATTTTCAGAGATATTCTGGTAATTTTTCATAACCAGAAATATTGTTTTTATATATTTATCATGTGCCTCCTTGTTAGATCTATTCATGTCCCAAATTTTGATTCAAAATTATTTGTAGAAAAAATATTGAAAATAAAATATTATGAGCATCTGATCAAGATTCGATGGTTCAGTGGTAGCTTGTGACATTGTGACTCAAGCCATCTCAGCCATTTTCTCAGATCTGATGGTTGAGAACAGAGATCACATATACCATATATATGGGTGGGGTCACATAGAAAGCCGTCCTTTGATAAAAGGAGGTCATAATCATTTTTTACCATTAGAATTGCAATCCGGTGGTTGATGATATATTATTGTTTAGGCACAATATATAAAATAAATTTTCTCAAATGTTGTGACACACTTTCATCTCTTGGATTTCACATTCAACGTCTAAAAGTGACTATGACTTCCTTGTATTAAAAATAAATGATCTCATAGCATACCAACCTTTTAAAATAAGGGCAATTTTTTTATGTTTCTCCTTCAACATAAAACTCATATACTTCCCCTTATCCAACCATCCATTCTGAATGGAGCTTTAAGATTGTCTCAATCACAATGTCATGTCTCTACACTATTTTATTTTATTTTATTTCTATGAACTATTTTGACACCAAATTTTGGATGCCCAATCCTCTATTAAACTCGTACTAGTGGAAAATATAAAAAATGTTTTCAATAAATAAAATATCCAAAATACTTCGAAAAGTTTCAAAAGGTATTTTGGTCATTATATTTTATCAAAAAATTATTTTTCATATTTTTTTATAGGTGCGCCTCAATCAAAAGATGGCAGGTACTAACTTTTACATTCATACAATTTGTATAAAAAAAACTAAAAATAAAATACTTTGATACGTCGGATCTAAGATCAAACGGTGAGTGACCCTCTTGATCAAATTGGACGGCTGGATGGTAGGGGAAGCATAGATCTTCTATGATGTAGGAGAAGTATAAAAACCTTTCCGTTAAAATAAAATCTTTTAGAACCCACAATGTAAAAAGCATTAGTTGACCAATCTCATATTACATTTATTTTATATTTTCGCTTTGCGAGCTTTCAAATTGCTCTAACTTGAAAAAGAACGATTAAGATCTCAAAATGGAGTTCCCCAAATAAAAATAGTTGCTCAATTTTTAAATTTTTATTTTGAGTAGTTCCTTTCTCAATTGTCTTTTTTCTTTTTTTCTTTTTGACAATGTTACTTTCTCAAACTTACCCACCTCGCACACAAATGCACACCGTGTATCTAAATGGTTTTTGATATTGGTGTTTTGGCTTGGCAGTTTGGTGGGAATGGTTATGATAATATTTGGGCTTTATGGTGTGCTATGGGGAAAAGCCGGAGACATGAACAAGAAGCAGGGAATGAGAAATGAAGAGGCAGAAGGTCATGCATCACAATCCAGAGATGAGGAAGCCAATGTTGTAGGCCTTCAGGAGCCTTTGTTCAAGTGAAAAAAAGATAAATGTTCAGGGCACGTGTGAATGGATCATTATAATATTATGAGATGATTATTATATATCGGTATTTTATTTTTTGTAATTCAGTGGAGAAGAGGTCCCCTCTTCTTAATAGCAATGAAATTCAAAATGTCATATTATATCACCACACTATCTTGGCTTTAAGCCCATTCCCTATATTAATCAAGTTCTATGGAGAAAAAGTCATTATTGAAACAAATTTATGTAATGAAAATTATTATTGAAGCAGATTTATATAATGGTAAGCAATTAGCGATAAAAGGAAAGAATTCAATGAAAGAAAGTCCCGGTTTTTTTGTAGAGAAGCGGTTCCCACAGATATTTTGAGTGGTTTCCCTTTCAGTGAAAGAAAGTCTCGGTTGCTCTCAAGGTACTCTTCCTGGATAGTGGTTTAGCTATGAAATGGAGATGGTTTCTTCCTGGATATTGGTTTAACTGTGGAACAGATATGAGAGATCGCCAGGTCTAAAAGGGTTTACTCGATTGGGTTTTGTCGAGGTTATAGAGGTAACTCTATGTCTCAAAATCTATAATGTAACTTTTATTGATATAGTGGATTTCAGTTTGTCTTTCTTGTAGGTGTAGCCCTCTTGGAGCGAACCACGTAAATCTTTGTGTTCTTGTAGCGTGTGTGTTTCATGCTTTATTTATCATATTATGGCTCGTGCTCTCTTTTATTTTGTTTCTAGCTAGAGAAGTACACGATCTTAGTGGAATCTAACTTTTGGGATTCTTGTTTCCGCATCTATGAGAGTTTTTAAATCCAAACAAATAGTATCTGAGCGCACGGTTCAGTACATGGCTAGTATTTGTGCATTCGGTTGAATAAAAGCACATGGCAAAGTATGCAAGCATTTTATTTAACGTGGAAACATATGATGGAAAGAACAGTCTTTTCAGCAAGAATGATGAAGGAATTAATTTGGCAAAAGATGAAGAATTCATAAAATTATCCAATGGATGTTCGCATGGTGAGCTGGTGATTTTAATATCAAAGTGGAGATTGTTGGATATGATGAGTATCTAAAATCACCTACATACAGAAATCTCATAATATGTAAGATTGAGATTGATATCGATAAGTT